ATCATAGCGCGCTAGACAGTGATTGCGTGGATCGGCCTGGCTTACCGGTAGATTTTTGTGTTTTCCGCTTTGAAGTCGTCCTCGGCCTCTCTACCACATCAGTATAGAATTCTGAAATTGTGCCGAACGATAGACTGAGAGCCTACTTGATTGTGAATAGTATTAACCGAACCGAAATACGGTGTGATTTTCTGAATAAGTGATCCGCCAAATTAGTGCCAGTCACGTAAAGAAGGAGTAGTACTGTCGTGCAGTGTAAAAGTATTATTTTTTCGTCATACCCAACAGTCAGCTACAAGTCCTGGCGCTTCTATCTAGTGTTCATAACCCTGTTTATATACTGCATCAAACTTTATCACACATCAGCATGACCTTTCCGCCATGCCCCCATGCTATTTTAGCTGGCTCAAATGCTGAAAATCATCGAGGTCCTGGGACCGTTGCCTCCTCACGTGCTTGAACAAAGTCGCCGTTGGCCTGTATTTTTCGAACGCGAACCCAACGGCAGCTTCATTCCCAAGTATCAGGCGGCAAAGGAGAGTAATGCCAAGGTAGGTGTTTCCATTTTACGTTATTCTGCTAGTCTGCTTTGCTTACATACTGTTCAGGGTCCTTTTTAGTCATGTTTTGTCCGTCAATCTGTGGATCAGAGTTAATCCACTCCTGTATTTTCTCTCTTGCAATAATTGAGTTAGTATAATCTGTTCCGCTCGAAGTAAGCTGAAGGGCGGTCGTCTGTCACCAGTTGCAGTCGTCTTAATCAATACCCGGTATTGCTATGTACGCTGCATTGTTTCCTCGCATGTCGATCTGGCTTCGAGTAGCACTTAAAGTTGAATCATCATCTGTGGACGCAGCCCGGTGTGTCTAAAACCGTTAGGAGTCGATAAGGGAAGTGTCAGCTAGTTGTGAATCGGGCTGGCTAGGAGCTTGTTTTCGGAACACGCCGTCCTTTTTTATTCTCCTGCCGGGAGGTAACGTCTTCTGATTTTGTCAACAGTGGATGAAGTTTTGGACCATTTGCACACCGAAGACGTCCTGAATATGGGCAGGCTCTTAATCGTGCTTCTTTCTAGGTAATGATTAACTGCGACTCTCAGTTGCCAGTACGGTATTCTCAGGGTCCTCCGGTCTGTGCAGTAGTTTCTCTTTCAAAGCAAAAGAACGACTTTCCCTAGCACGCGTTGCTGGGCTCCTATAGAATCACACAGTCATTTGATTGCCAATACAAGCTAGCATGCAAATCCTAGGAAGTACTTCAGAAGAGGAAGATGTGATCGCGAATTGCCAAACAGGAGGTAGCCGTGTCGAGAAATGGTGTCCATAGTTAAGTTGCGGCTCATTCGACAGGACCCGCTCACATGTTCGCATTTGATGAGGGTCAAATTCGCACGAGAGGTGACAATCGCGTGAGTCGCGAATTAATTGAGTTATGGTTCACGAGTCCCCAGTCTTTAAACAAATGCAACGACCGGTCCAACCCATATTCGGTGCTGAGGCTCCGTTTGCTCAAAGCACTTCGTCACTTGGGGAACGCACAGCCCACTACGTCGTCTAACGTCAACACCGGGGAACCAGATGGCCGAGCAATCATTACGTCCAGTTCCACTACGTGTGATGAAAGTTCAGCAGGTCACGGCCCGCACGCCGGCCATCAATTAGCGCACGTGTGGGCAATTATTCTCGATGAGGGGGAGGCATTAATTGTCATAAGTGT